TTAACAACCCCACAACATTTTAACGCTCTAAATTCTCAACTTTTTTTTTTCTTTTGTGAAAATACACATAGCCAAAGATACGCCATTTCAAAAAATTTTTTTTTACATACACATTTAAGTGACATTGACTACACTCTTCTAATTGTGCTGTTATTCTCACTTAAGATGAAGGCTTACAGGACAAAATAGTCTCCCATTTAACAGTTACTACAAATGTTGCCCTATGACAATGGTTAACAATCTCACAACACATCAACAATATCCTTACTCTACTTTGTGTTCCCTATCATCAGCTTCCTACTCCCCTTCTGCCTTCTGGGCCTTGTCACTGGACTCCTGTACCTCGTTACTCTCATGGTTTTACTGGGCTGTCCACTCTCAGGCTGATCAGTGAACCTTGAAGGTAACTTTACCACTGAGCTAAAAGGGTGTCTGGGGGCCATACTCTCAGGGTTTCTCCAGTGTCCTTTAGGCCAGAAAATCTGGTCTTTTTTTTTTCTGTGAGTTAGAATTATGCTCTACATCCTTCTCCAGCTCTGTCCAGAACCCTCTGTTGTGATCCTGGTCAGAGCAGTCAGCGGTGGTAGCCGGGCACCATCTAGCTGTACTGGACTCAGTCCGGTGAAGGTCTTGGTAGCTGTGGACAATTAGTCCTTTGGACTAATCTTTTCGTTGTATCCTGTTCTCTTCATTCTCACTTGCTCCCGAAGAGATGAGACCAGTGGAGTATCTTAGATGGCCGCTCACAGGCTTTTAAGACCCCAGACACTACTCACCAAGGTAGAATGTAGAGCATTATCTTTATATGTAGTGTCATGCCAATTGAGCTAGATGTTCCCTGAGACCATGGTCCCAGGGGCCATTTTTTTTAAAACCCCAGTATATTCAGGCTGCATGAGCAGGTGCCTGTTGGCAGTGGGGGTGGGGGTTTTGTTTCATGGCTTCGTTTTGAGCTAGAATCTATGTTTTCTGAGAGCAGGCACAGCGCCCTCTAGTGTTGACAGCCCTTCCCGGGCAGTCTGGTGCCATGATTTGAGTGACCCGTTACCGTCGAGTCGATTCCGAATCATAGCCACCCTGTAGAACAGGGTAGAACTGCCCCGTAGGGTCTCCAAGGCTGTAATCTTTATGGGAGCAGATTTCCGCGGAGCAGCTGGTGGGTTTGAACCACCGACCTTTTTTTGGTTAGCAGCCAAGTGCATACCCGCTGTGCAGCCAGGGCTCCTTTGTGATTTGTGTTGGTGTTACGTGCCGTCTAGTCGGTTCCGACTCGGAGCGACCCTGTGCGCAACAGAAGGAAACCCTGCCCAGTCCTGTGCCGCCCTCACGGTCGTTGCTATGCTCCAGCCCATTGTTGCAGCCACTGTGTCGGTCCATCTCATTTAGGGTCTTCCTCTTTTTAGACAACCCTGTACTTCACCAAGCATGATGTCCTTCTCCAGGGACTGATCCCTCCTAATAACATGTTCAAAGTATGTGAGACATTGTCTCGCTATCCTTGCTTCTAAAGAGCGTGCTGGCTGTACTTCTTCCGAGATAGATTTGTTCGTTCTTTTGGCCGTCCATCATATATTCGATATTCTTCGCCAACAGAACAGTTCAAAGGCATCAATTCTTCTATCTTCCTTATTCATTGTCCAGCTTTTTACATGCATATGAGGTGATTGAAAATGCCGTGGCTTGGGTCAGGCACACCTTAGTCCTCAAGGTGGCATCTTCGCTTTTTAACGCTTTAAAGAGGTCTTTTGCAGCAGATTTGCCCAGTGCAGTGCATCTTTTGACTTCCTGACTGCTGCTTCCAGGGGTGTTGATTGTGGATCCAAGTAAAATGAAATCCTTGACAACGTCAGTCTTTTCTCCGTTTATCATGATGTTGCTTATTGGCCTAGTTGTGAGGATTTTTGTTTTCTTTATGTTGAGGTGTAATCCATACTGAAGGCTGTAGTCTTTGATCTTCATCAGTAAGTGCTTCAAGTCCGCTTCACTTTCAGCAAGCAAGGTTGTGTCATCTGCATAATGCAGGTTATTAATGAGTCTTCCTCCAATCCTGATGCCCCGTTCTTCATATAGTCCAGCTTCTCGGATTATTTGCTCAGCATACAGATTGAATAAGTATGGTGAAAGGATACAACCCTGACGCACACCTTTGCTTACTTTAAACCATACAGTATCCCCTTGTTCTGTTCGAACAACTGCTTCTCGATGCATGTACAGATTCCTCAGGAGCACAGTTAAGTGTTCTGGGATTCTCATTCCCGTTCTTCATAGTGTGATTTGGGTACTTGATCCTTTATAAGTGTAGTGGGAAGTGGGGGCAGACTGTTGGCCCTGGCTGCCCCCTCAGTGTCACGTGGCCTTTCCTGCGCAGAGGATCGCCATCAGGGGCCCACGCTGCCTTCCACATGCCCCACGCGTGAACGGAGCATTTATAATTACAAAGCTAGGAAAAGAATCGCTGTGTTTTAGAATGTATGGACCTTCCAGAACTATTATCTCTGCAGTTCCGGGGAGGAATAAGCTTTTTATGTGGTTGAAAGAATGCACTCAAGCTACGCAGCCTGAGTTCAAGTCCCAGCTCCTCCGCTTACTAGCTTTGTGACCTTGAACTAGTTCCTTAGTTTCTGTCTGTTGACTTGACTGTACGATGGGGGTGGTAATAATACCTGCGTTTTAGGGTTGTAGAGGGTTTCATGAGTTAAGCACACAGAGTGCTTAGAAAGCGGCCTGACTCGTGGTAAGTACTCGGTTAGACCTTATTGCGAGGCAGAGGTTCCTGGGAGCACAGTGTTCTCCTTCCAGGCTGAGGGCGCTGCCAGGCACTGACGGGCGGAAGGGCTCATGGGAAGGTGGTGTCTGGTGTGGGTAGACCTCAGGGAGTTCTGCGACCAAGTTGTGAAAGACAGTGGAGCCCTTCCGGACACAGCATACTTTTCTCATTTTGTGGAGTTGCCAAGGGACGGGAATGTAGCCAGCACCCAGCCGCTCCTCTGCACTCACTCCAGCTCTGCTCCCAGCACCGTCCAGGCTGTGGAAAAATGGAGGGGAATTCTGTCTGGAAAGATTGGAGACCCCACCCCAAAGACGCAGAGCTTCAGGTGGAGCCAACGCCTGCAGGCTGTCACGCACCAAGGGCAGTCGGACAGCTGTGGCACGGAGAGGACAGCCTGACCTGGGAGCACGGAGGAGGCGCCTGCCCACCAGCAGCCTCCGCAGAGGTCGGAGGGAGGAGCCGCCTCTGCCTTGCATGGTGCCGGCGTCTCCCCAGCTGCTCCCCCTCTGCTCCAGAGCTGGAGCCTCAGTTTCCCCTGTGCTCAGAGGAAGGGGAGGAGCCAGTGCCCCCCGCCACCATCCAGTACCAAGGAGGGCATCCCCTCCCGTCACACACAGCACAGCCTCTCATTGGATATCCTAGTACTGCAACTTCTGGTTCCTATGGCAACTTGGAAAAACCTGCAGTTGTGGCTTTTTGAAGTCTAAACCAGGAGCAGGGGGCTGGGGTATGTGGGGCAGCAGGGAAAATACCACGTCCAGACCAGAAGGGAGGGTCACAGGATAGAAAGTTCTTTGCAATAGGAAGGTGGCACCCTCGTCCAGCACGACCGTAGCAGAGCTCTCCGGGCCCCGCGCAGCCTCCGGGGGTCTCTGACCAGAGGTGAGAAGAGCCTGGACCTCCAGAGGGTCTTCAGCATCCACGATCTGGGGCGCAGTGGGGTCGGGCAGCGGTAGTCCCAGCCAGTGTTTGCTGAGCGCTCACTGCACGCCAGGCACTGTGCTGGCATCTCTGCGTTCGTGGTTGTATTCAGTCCTCCAACCACTCCGAGACAGCACTGCTGTCCCGTTTTGTACCTGTGGAGACAGGCCTGCAGACATGAGCCTGAGGTTTCCCAGCTGGTACGTCCAGCATCTGACTCTAGAACCCATGCCTGTGGGCCCGTTCTCTGAGCGTGAGCCTGTCCTTGTAGGAACATGCCGGCCGGTGGGATGGCGCAGTCTGCTGCTTCCTCTTCACCTTCTCGGAAGAGTCACATCCTGCTAACAGCAGAGCTTGTTTCAGTGATTGCCGAAGTTCTGGGGACCGTGAGCTGGTGTCTTCCTCTGTCTCTGTTTCCGCCCTCCACAAGGGCGCTCTCCATGCCCCAGGGGTGGATAGTGCGGAGACCTCTCGGGAGGGGGATCCGTTTGTGTCCTGTTTGGGGAGCAGCTCTTCCACACCAGGGGTTGTGACGTTGGCATCCAGAGGAGGCACGCAGTGCTGGAGACGCACAGCACCATGATGTCAGTGAGGAACCAGAGGAGCGACCCAGGTTTGGGGAAGCAGCGACAGAGATGCCAAGGCCCCCTGGCTTGCAGAAGCCAGCTCTGTCCAGGGCAGCTGGAGGCCCACAGGGCCCGGAAGAGGCAGGCAGGGCTCTCACCAGGCCTGGGCCCTCCTCTTGGAAGCCGCTGCTGAAGGGTGTTTGTGAGAGATGGGTCAGGTGCTTGTGTACCTGGCCAGGCTCCAGAAGTGCAAGGTCCTGGGAATTACTCAGCAGCTCGCTGGGCCCTGGAGCGCGAGAGATAAGGAGCAGGCGCAGCTGGCCAGGAAGGATGGCCCAGATTAGCACGCGTGGGTCAGGGATAGCAGGGCTCCAGGGTGACCCTCACAGCCCAGCGCTGCACCCCTCCCTGCCCCAGTCTCCTCTGCCCTGACCCCGGCTTGGAGGGGGCACCTGCAGAAGGTGGAGGCTTGACCCCTGGCATGGTGTTTTGCTCTCTGTGGGCCCTTCGCTAGAGCGAGGCCTCTGGGACCTGTGCTTATCCACGCTTTGAGTGTGATCGGAGGTGCTCCCAGCAAGCATTGTGCTTGCCTTTGTAGGGAGGGTGGCTGGGGACACGGGGCTGACAGTGTCTGTCTGGCCTGGTGCTGGTGGGAGGGGCGAACGTGACACTTGAGTAGACATTGGGGGAAGAAAGTGTGGTGGCTGCTGGGGCTGGCCTCTCATCCTTGCTTCCTCTCACAGCTGAAGCTGGAGGACCGCTCTGTGGTGCCCCGGGACGTGGTCCGGCACATGCGCTCCACCGTGAGTTCTGGCAGCCCCCTTGTTCTCCGCACTCAGGGTGCCGGCCTGGGCACTGCCCGCGGCGGGCTCCCCAGGCGCTCGGGTGGTGGCTGGGGCTGTTGCGTGGCCTGCGCCTGATGCTGGCTCCCTCTCGCCCCAGGACAGTCAGTGTGGGACGGTGATCGATGTGAACATCGACTGCGCAGTCAAGCTCATTGGCACCAACTGCATCATCTACCCTGTCAACAGCAAGGACCTGCAGCACATCTGGGTGAGCCACGCCCCTCTGACGCTCGCCCCGTCTGTCCCGGTCCTGTCATTGCTGCGCCCTGTGCCTCTTGCTGGCATAGTCTGCTTGTGGGACAGCGGCCTACTCGCTCCCGTTGGCTGGTGCTGCTGCTGCTCACGAGAGGGCCGTGTAGACCTGAGAGGGCCGTGTAGGCCTGAGAGGGCCGTGTAGGCCCGAGGCAGGGTGTGTAGACCCGAGGGGGGCCGTGTAGACCCGAGGAGAGCCGTGTAGACCCGAGGGGCCAGGTAACCTGAGGAGCATACTTCCCCCTCCTCCAGCCTCACCCACCTAAATCGCAGATGTGGCTCCTTTACCTGCTTTCCTTGCTCCTCTAACATTCTTCCTTTTTAACAGGTTTCTTTGTAATAAGCTATTTTTAAACAATCTCAGACTTAGAGAAAAGTTGTAACTTCAGTGCAGAGAATTCCTGTATCCCCCTCATCTGGGTTCCCCAACTGTTATAACATTTCATTCCATTTGTTTGTCACCTTCCCTTCCTCCCTCCCCCATCTCCCTCCCCCCATCTTCTTTTTTCCCTGAAACATTTGAGAGCAAGCTGCAGACATGCTGCCCCGCAACCCTGAAATACTCCAGGGTGTATTTCCCAAAATGGGGGCACTCCGCGCAGTCCAGAAACCAGCACTGCTACGCCCCTGACTGGTCCACAGACCCCATTCAGGCGACCCCACTCTGGGGCACACTCTGCAGGCATTGTGTTCAGTCCCTCCCGTCTGGGGCCGTTCCACAGTTCTTCCCTGTCGACGTGCCCTGGGCAGCATCACGTTCAGCAGGACATCCCTCAGCCTGTCCCTCTGGTGCCACCTTGTGAGCTGCCTCAGGCCATAGCGTGCCCTCTTGGCAGGAGGACCACAGAGATGTCTGAGTGCTTCCCAGCCTCACATCTGGGGCCACAGCATGCAGGGTCCCGCCGCTAGGGCGTCCGCTTTGTTCCCAGGTCATGTCAGTGTCTGCCGTTTTTCTCCACCATGGTGTCTCCATTTACCCCTTTCTAACTGATTTCATCCAAGATTAGGCGCCACAGTGGTTAAGTGCTCAGCTGCTGACCAAAAGGTTAGCAGTTTGAACCCACCAAATGCTCCGTGGGAGAAAGATGTGACTGTCTGCCTCCATAAAGAGCGTGGCCTAGGAAACTCTGTGGGGCAGCTCTCCTTGTCCTGTAGGGTCCCTGTGAGTCGACGATGGGTTTATTCTAAACTTGTGTCATGATCCCATCCTTGTCCAAACTGAGTCCACCAGCTCCACCAGCTCCACCTCCGTCAGCAACTCCCGCCTGGACCAGCCATCACTGTGGCGGTTGCCAAACGGAGATATATGGCTGCTCATCCTCCTCATGTTTATAGTTGACATTCGGCTGCAGGGATGAGCGTTACCTTCTGCTCATTTACTTACTTAGTTACTTTTTTATATCAGTGTGGGACTCACAGCTGCCTGTTTTATCCAGACACCAAAACCAAACCTGTAGCCGTCGAGTCAATTCTGACTCATAGTGACCCCATAGGACAGAGTAGAACTGCCCCGTAAGGTTTCCAAGGAGCGGCTGGTGGATTGGAACTGCCAGCGTTTTGATTAGCAGCCATAGCGCTTAACCTCTGTGCCGCCAGGACTCCTGTGTATGTCTGCACCAGTACATACACACGCACACATGTCAACACATGGCTGCCTGGTCCATGTATACATACATACATACGTGAGTTCCTCCTGCTGCCGCCTGTGCCCGCTCATCATCTCGGGTTTATTCTGTCCTCCCCTCTCCGTGTCCGTGGGTCCCTTCTCCAGCAGTTCTCCCGCGTTGTCCTCAGTGTATTTCTTTACTACTCAGATCACTTGAGACTCGTTTGTGCAAGTACCCAGTCAGCCCACTGCGCGGCATCTGCTCTGCCGCCCCTCCACAGGCCCCTCCTGCCCAGTATCCTTGGACGCCATCACACCCATTGCCTCTGGGTGGCTCTCCCGCACCAGGGAAGGGAAGTGAGATCCAGCTGAGGGCTCTTGGGGGAGGGGACCCGTCCAGGCAGTAATCACTCTGCGTCCTTCCTCCCCTGCCTAAGTGGGCCCACGAGGCGTTCCTGCCCTGGACGTCAGCACTGTCTGCCATCCCTCACTGCCCCTGTCCCCTTGGCCTACAGCCCTTCATGTATGGGGACTACATTGCCTACGACTGCTGGCTGGGGAAGGTCTATGACTTGAAGAATCAGATCATCCTGAAGCTGTCCAATGGCGCCAGGTAGCACCTCACCACAGGAGCCGCCAGCTGGGGCAGGGTGGCCCAGCAGAAGGAGGGAGGGGGGCTGTGATGACGGGTTTATCAAGGGCAAGGGCAGATGCTGCGGGCACCAGGGCCTCGTGTCCCAGGCCTGACCCTGCTCAGCTGCCATGGCCTCGTTCTCTGTCTCCGTCTCTGGTCTTTGCTCTCTGGACTCGGGGAGAGAAGCATTATCATTTAGCATATGTGCTCGGGGCTGGTCCTTTATTTTAGACACTACAGTGGTGGTAAGTGCTCGGCCAGGGCCCAGGGTCTTGTTGAGTGTAGGAGAGTTTCTTGTACCAGGGATGAGGCTGATCTGCTGGCACAAGATGAATTGGGCCACCTCAGGATACAGTGAGATCGGCCCCTCTGGGTAACTGCTGTTTGGTTGCTGATCAGCAGCCATGTCCTGGCTGTCGCCCCGCCTGGGACTTCAGTCACTGTGCCCTGCTGGACACCAAACTGTTCACTGTTGCAGGTGCTCCATGAACACGGAAGATGGTGCCAAGCTCTACGACGTCTGCCCCCACGTCAGCGACTCGGTGAGTTGGTCCTGCCAGAAAGGCGTCACACCTGTCCCCAGACTCTGGACTGCAGAGGAGGGAGAACCTCTCAGCCCCCAGCTTGTCACTGTGCCAGGCTGAGTGCTGGAAACGAGGCGGGTGTGCGCCAGGCTGGCTGAGCGTTTGGGTGTAGACAGAGGGCGTTAGTAATCGCATCTGCCCTTCAGGTCACCTTTTCTCTCGGTCTTTGTAGACCTCGCTTTCTGTCTTAGAGTGTGCGGCACACAAACAGCACACCGTCAGCGCGGTAGTGTGTGCACAGTTTCTAAGTAAACAAACACGCTCTGAGGGGTGCGTGACCAAGCCAGCGTGGGGACCCCACTCTCTCGTGCTTTACTCCTCCAAGTGGGGTCCCGTGTCGCCAGCAGGGACATCTCATCAGGAATGTAGTCTCAGAATCTGCGTGTACCAGGCCCCTGGGTGGTTTGTGAGCACATCAGGGCCTGTGGGGTGTCTTAGGGAATGTGGGGCCCACGAAGTGCGGCTGTCACCTGAGGAGGCAGCACTCTCAGGGACTCCCCTCCCACCCCGCATCCTGCAGGGCCTCTTCTTTGACGATTCCTACGGCTTCTACCCGGGCCAGGTGCTCATCGGCCCAGCCAGGATCTTCTCCAGCGTCCAGTGGCTGTCGGGGGTCAAGCCGGTGCTCAGCACCAAGAGCAAGTTCCGTGTGGTGGTGGAAGAGGTGGGGCCCGGGGCCAGGGTGCTGTCCTTGGTCTCCTCCACGCCCTGGGACCCTCTTCTGCTGCGCCCCTCTCGCCTGAGAGGGGAGCCCGGGCTCCGGTCATGGGGCCGCTGACAGGCAGGCACCCCCCGCCTGGCCCACAGAGCAAGGTCGGGCTGGAGGGTGGCCGTTCCTCTGGACCCCGCCGGGTGGTGAGGAGGCAGCAGTGGCCCCAGGGATAAGGAGAAGGAGAGCGTGCTTCTGTGTGGGGGGCTTGGCTCTGGTTAGTCAGGGCCTCCTCTAGGTGTGTGGGTACTTGGTACCGCCTCTGAAGAGCCGCCTTCTGCCCTGGCAGTCAGGTGGGCCTGGGCCATGAGTCCCCCTGCCCAGCTGGCTAGAGCAGGGCCATGGGAACCTGCCCTGACCGTGGCCCTGCCCCCTGCCTTCCCAGGTGCAGGTCGTGGAGCTCAAGGTCACGTGGATTACCAAGAGTTTCTGTCCAGGGGGCACGGACAGCGTCAGCCCCCCGCCCTCTGTCATCACCCAGGAGAATCTAGGCAGGTGAGCTCCAGCACGCAGCCCACTCCGCCGGGGGCCCGCCGCCAGGGGCCCGCCCTGGGCAGAAGTGCAGCCTGGCCATGCCCCGCTTCTCCCCTCAGGGTGAAGCGTCTCGGATGCTTTGACCATGCTCAGCGGCAGCTGGGGGAGCGCTGTCTGTATGTCTTCCCAGCCAAGGTAGAGCCGGCCAGGATTGCCTGTGAATGTCCAGAAAAAAACTGCGCCCAGGGGGAGGGCTCTGTGGCCAAGAAGGTATGTCCTCAGGGCTTGGAGTTGGTGGGCGTTTGAGGAACTGGCCTTCCGCCTGTTCCCACAGCAAGGACGGCCGCCGCCTCCTGGTGGGCAGCTCTCATGACCCTGGCTGGGCACTGAGGGTGACTAGCCGCTGCCCGCCCAGACCGAGACACCTGGGGTCAGGCCGGCCGGTCCCGCCCAGGGTGGGGCCTGTGGCAGCCCCACACCCCCACACAGCGCTCTCCCTACTCCACCCTCGCAGGTGAAGCGCCTCTTGAAGAAGCAGGTCGTGCGGATCATGTCGTGCTCCCCGGACACCCCGTGTCCCCGGGACCACTCCACAGAGGACCTGGACAAGAAGGGGGACGCCAAGGCCAGGAGCGAGCTGGGCTCTGCCAGCCCCGATGAGACGCCTGATGGCTCGGCCAGCCCGGTGGAGGCGCAGGATGAGGGGCCCGAGGAGCCTCCTGAGGCTGGCGAGCAGCTGCCCCCCTTCCTGCTGAAGGAGGGCAGAGACGACCGGCTGCACTCGGCCGAGCAGGACGCAGACGACGAGGCTGCTGACGACACGGACGACAGCAGCTCCGTGACGTCCTCTGCCAGCTCCACCACCTCCTCGCAGAGCGGGAGCGGCACGAGCCGCAAGAAGAGCATCCCCCTGTCCATCAAGAACCTCAAGCGGAAACACAAGAGGAAGAAGAACAAGATCACCCGGGACTTCAGGCCAGGGGACAGGTAGGGACCGGGGTGCTTTGCCCTGGTCAGCCATCCAGCCTTAGGCCGGGCGGGGCTCACCCCTTTCCCCTACCACCGCGTGATCACTCAGGGTGCCCATCCAGACCACGCTGAGGTGCCTGGGCAGGCCCCAGGAGGAGGAAGGAGGCCTGGGAGGCCGTGGCGGTGGGGCGGTGGAGTCAGCCCCCACCGGGCCACACGTGAGAAGCCCGGGTGAGCTGTCTGAGCATCACGACTGTGGTCCCACGGCCCTTCTCCCCTCCTCTCACCAAGTCCCCGGGGTGGGGTGGGGGCAGAAAGGCAGTCTCCCCTTCCTCGGGGACGTGGCCTCACCGCCGGCCCACCCTGCAGGGTGGCTGTGGAGGTGGTGACCACCATGACCTCAGCAGACGTGATGTGGCAGGACGGCTCCGTGGAGTGCAACATCCGCTCCAACGACCTGTTCCCCGTGCACCACCTGGACAACAACGAGTTCTGCCCAGGGGACTTCGTGGTGGACAAGCGAGGTAGCGCCAGCCCCCCCACAGAGGGCCGGGCTGGGGAGGTGGGAGAGGGTCCGAGATAGAATGAGGGCAGGTGGCTCCCTCTGGTGGACTGGTGGCAGGGCTTCGCTGGCTTCTCTGCCCTGTTGGTTTGAGGGGTGGTGGGCGGGCTGGCGGGCGGGTGGGCACCCCTAGGGCTCCCCAGCCAGCTGTGTGCCTTCTGCCCCCAGTCCAGAGCTGCCCGGACCCTGCCGTGTATGGCGTGGTGCAGTCTGGGGACCACACTGGCCGCACCTGCATGGTGAAGTGGTTCAAGCTACGGCCGAGCGGGGATGACGTGGAGGTGCGTGTGCGGCTCCCCCACCGCAGGGCGGGCTGGGAGGGCCAGAGCCCTGGCTGATGGCCACCCATCCTCTGCCACAGCTGATTGGAGAAGAGGAGGACGTGAGCGTGTATGACATTGCCGACCACCCGGACTTCCGGTTCCGCACGACAGACATCGTTATCCGCATCGGCAACACTGAGGATGGGGCCCCTCCCAAGGAGGACGAGGTATTAGCGCTCGCCACCTGGAGGTGAGGTCAGCTCTGGGCCTGCTCTCCCAGCCTGTGCGGCAGCTGCAGTCCCCCAGAGAACCACCAGGTGGCCCCAGGACACAGGACGTGAAGTCGTCCAGTGCCTCGTGCAGCCTGGGGCTCGGTCTCCCAGAGTGAGTCCACTGGGCTCCCAGGAGAGTAGCTGCCCACAGTAGAGGTGCTGTTCCGCCCCGACACCCACAGAGGGACTAGAGGATCAGGCTTCGTTCCCGCAGCTGGTCCTGAGCCCCGCAGTGGCATCTTAGGGAAGCTAAGTCCCTTGGCCGATGTGTCATGAGCATGGTGGAAAACGCTCTGCGTACTAGGAGGTTTAGGGAGGGTGCTCCTGGGGGAGGCCGGAACATCGGGTGCGAGTGGATTCCGGAGAGGAAGTGCAGGAACACAGCCTGAGCGAGGCAGGAGCCCCTGTCCTGGGAACAGTGAGCAGCCTGGAGGGGCCAGGGCTGTGAGTGTGAAGGGAACCCATGAGTGCTTGCTGAGATCGGGGCAGGCAGCTGGACTCGGTGGACGGTGAGCTGGGAGGTGTGAGCAGGGTTCCCACAACCAGGCCGTCCCTGGACGGTGAGCCGGCAGGTGTGTGCGGGGTTCCCACAACCAGGCCGTCCTTGGACGGTGAGCTGGGAGGTGTGAGCGGGGTTCCCACACCCGGGTTGTCCCCAGACGGTGAGCTGGGAGGTGTGAGCAGGGTTCCCACACCCAGACCGTCCCTGGACGGTGAGCTGGGAGGTGTGAGCAGGGTTCCCACACCCAGGTTGTCCCTGCACGGTGAGCTGGGAAGTGTGAGCGGGGTTCCCACACCCAGGTTGTCCCTGGACGGTGAGCTGGGAGATGTGAGTAGGGCTGCCACAGCCAGGTTGTCCCCGGACGGTGAGCTGGGAGATGTGAG